ATCCCCCAAAAAACAATTTAAAATTCAAAGAGCAAATGTACAATTAATCCATGATTTATGACAAAATGATAAAGACATTAGACAGCGTTTGGATCTACAAAATGTAAATTAGAGATGGAAACTAAAGTAGTATTCAGGAGGAAATTTGTAGCTCTAATATAGGAATTTAAAATATTCTTATATTAGAAAATAAAAATAGTATTAAATTAGTGATCTCAGGATTAATCTTAAAAATAAGCCAATAGTGTCTTAAACCAGTGTATGTTGAGACAATGATTTAATTGAGCAATGGAAGTTGAGTACAAAGCAGAACAAACACACATGAAAAGCAATGAAAACCAATATATCTAACAGGTGGTTATTTGAGAAAAATATTTTAAAACACCTAAAAGTACCCATCAAATGAAAACCGCAACTGTTGAGTGAAGGATAAAGCATTACCACTACTGTGAAGATATTAACAGGATATTTAGAAAACAATTTTATCAGCCTATGCTGATAAAACTGATGACATAGATGAAGGACATAAATTCTTTGAAAGACTTGCTCCCAAAACTGATTGGAGAAAAAATAGAAATATTTAAATTTCTTCTACCAGTGAAAGAAGTACAATTCATCTAAAATGGCTTCACTAGAAGAGGGAAGGAAATAACACCATGTGCACCTGTTATGGAGAACAGAGGAACAGAATGGTTCACATCTCAGCTCAGTTTAGGAGAGCTCCATAACACTAATGCTAAAACAAGGACAGCTGTTTCAGTTACCTGTTCTGGACTGTGGAAAAATACCTGACACTCACATCTCAGCTCAGTTTAGGAGAGCTCCATAACACTGATGCTAAAATAAGGACAGCTGTTTCAGTTACCTGTTCTGGACTGTGGAAAAATACCTGACAAAAGCAACCTAAGGAGGGTTGGTTTTATTTTGACTCATTTTTTTTTAAACTATAGTTGTCATGTCAAGAAGTAATGGCAGCAGGATCCTAAGGCACAATGCATCCCGATGTGCACAAAGAGCCATGAATGTGGTGCTTTGCTAGCTTTCTTTTTTTTATGAAGCCAAGGACCTCAGCTTAAGGAATGGTGCCACCCATATTTAAAGTGGGAGGGAGGGTCTTACTACCTCAATTAACCTAATATAGATAATCCCTCACATATATTACCATACTTTTCTCTTTTTGGCAGTTCTAGATCCTGTCAAGTTTAATCACTATTAACCATCACAGTACCCAACAAAAGCAACCTAGAACTGAATATCCTTCATCACCACTAACACCATATTAGTTCCTTTTCTCATTGTTACAACAAAATACCTAATATGATAGCAAAGAAAGGATTTTTTCTGACTCCTGATTTCAGAGGTGTCACTCTGTCACTGTGAGGAGGGCATGTGGATGGGGCAATTCACATCATGGCAGATAAGAAGTAGAAAGAAGGCAATTCAGGAAGGCAATTTAACAAGATGTAGCCCCCAAAGACTTGCCTTCATCTACCTAGTTCTTTCTGGTAGGCCCAATCTCATACTCTTTATCACCTCCTTGTGATGCTATTGTGTTATGATTTCTTTAAAAAAAATAATCTATTCATTAGGTCAGAGCCTTGATAATCTAATTGTGTTTGGGAATGCCATCACATAAACACCCAGAAGCATGCTCTATAATCTCCTATGTGCTTTTCAGTTCAATCACATTGACAGTTAAGATTAACCATTTTCCACACAGTAAGAGTCCCAAGAGAACCTTTCATAAGAACAAACATAAAATAGGATAAGAAATACCAAATTATTCCATTTTTTTTATGAAAAAAAAGTAGCCAGGCATGGTAATGCATGCCTTTAATCCCAGCACTTGGGAGGCAGAGGCAGGCAGATCTCTGTGAGTGTAAACCAGCCTGGTCTACATATGGAGCTCCAGTCCAGCTGGGGCTACAGGGAGATCCTATCTCGAAAAACCAAAACCAAAACCAAACCAAACTAAAACAAAAAAATGGTAATTATTTTTGAATGCACAATCCAGTGGCATTTAGTACATTTACAATTTTGTGATGCCTAGTCTTGCCTATAAAAGTGTTTTCATCACTCCTTAAATCAACTCTATGCCAGCGAAGCTGTCATTCAACATTCCCATATCTATCTCCCACCAGTCCCTGGCTACCTGCTTGCTTTCTGCCTCTGTCAATTCCTCTGCTAGATGCATAATGTGAATGGAACCATACAACTGTGTCTCTTTGTGTGTAGTTTACTTCACTAAGCAAGGTGTGAAACACATCCACATTTCAGGACATAATAATTCTATTCATATTGCATCTAATTTATGTTCCTCAAATGTTCTTGTTTGT